GATGGGGCAGCAACATGTGATTGGGAGGTGATGGGGAAAAATTGATCGGTGTCAGGTGGTAATTGGGCAATGTTGGAGGGTTATCGTTGAGGCAGAGGAGGTGATCGGGTGGTGTCAGGTGGCGATCAGAGCCGCTTCTTCTCATATATTGTTATATTAGGGATGGAAAGAAAATCATGTACATAATTTGGGACGGGGGAGATTGTCATTTAGCATCATGCACATCGATCGATATGCTTTCTTTAATACGGACCTCGGTGCCTACAGACCTGCGCCGTCCGCTTTATCAGACTTCATCATACAACAACACCGGAGGTTCCGGCCACAGAACAAACATAGGAAGTGATCAGAATAAGATTTATCTCCCAAATATCCCCGACACATTTTTTTTCCGTATTATTTTATCGTAAACGACACTTCCCGCCATTTCTGCGCGCTCCATACATTATATTCATCTCTGCGCCCCGCGCTGGGAACACATAACCGAATTGCCTGGTGGCCGGCCTGAACAGATGTTTCATAAACCAGCCCAATTTGGGGGATAGGAAATAAAATCTATCTTTGTGGAATGGGTTCCGGTTGCGGTTTTTCTCGCGGCGTGATACATTGTTACCCATTACGTGTGGGGTAATATGGAGACAATGCTGCGTGGAAGCGAAGACACTTGTGGATAGTAATATACAGCAAATTAAATCTGCTCTATTACTGAGCCAGAAAATAAACCGCATACAACAGATGATGAGTTTACACCTCGCTGGACGCGTCCGGCACGCTCTCCCAGCCTCCCTCCCGCTATAAAGGCCCGGAATGCATCTACTTATAAACACATAAATGTATGTTTTATAGAGAAGGTGGTGTCCAGGGGTTGAGACATTGACATGAGCCACATATTGGGAGACATATTCTCAGTGTGATTTGTGCAATTTTCCTTATTTGTGTCACGGCGTAAATGCTTTGACATCGCTCATATATTCAGCGCCCAAAGCTTGTGTGACTGACTTGATATGGTGGAAATAAAGGCTTTGAGGAGTTTATACATATAGACTTTATGATTCTTTGGCTCAGGCCCCCTGCTCCCCTCTCCCAGCAGTGACTTGGCAGGTCCCCCCCCCCCCTCCCCGACCTCCACCGATTCCCTGCTTGGAAGGGGGGTGAGGGGAAGCAGAGCTGCCGATTCCCTGCTTGGAAGGGGGGGGGGTGAGGGGAAGTATTGCTGCTGATTGGCTTCTTGGAAGGGGAAGCAAGGGGGCTGAGCGTATGAATATTTGGGCCCCTATGTATATGCATTCCGATTTATGGCCTGGCCGAGCCTCTTCTGCTTTTCCTGGTCATGGGAGAAAAGTGAGGTGGGCTGCCGAGTCACTGATTGGAGGGCCTGGAGTGAGTTGCTAATTCACTGCTGGGAGGGGTAGTAGGGGGAGCTGAGCTGCCTGAATGAAGGACTCCAGGGCTTTTGCTGTGAAATTTAAGGGTGAATTGCTCCACAGTACCTGCAGCTACAGAGGTCAGTGAGGGTTTGTTTTAAGGCTTCTTTACCGTTTTGTTAAGAACCTGCATCACATATTTAAGCCAAGTCCTTTCTATGCCAGTAAACTGCAGGAAAGTGAGTGACAACCTTGAGATCAGCGACATTTTACATTTTACTGCTGATAAACTGATGAAATGGAGAGAGAAGCCGTATAACTCTGTATAAGCTACAAATATACACACTGGCAGGAGAGGAGGACACCTTTAAAGCTGAAGTTTAATCTGCCTATATTTTCCATTCCTGCCCCCGCCCCCCGACTTCATCAAAATACAAATTATTATTATTATTTTTTTAAACCAAACCTTTCTATTTTCATCATGTACCTTATTTTATACCAGTGATGTCATCATTAGATCTCTGTGCTTCTGTATGCAATGCAGGCAGATCATGGATGGTGGGAGGAGCCAGCAGTTTGCTGTACATAACTTCCTGAAACTATCACAGCACCCTGCCTCAGTATTCAAGAGCCCTTAGCCCTGGTTCAAGCAGTGGGCTGGTCTTCGGGAGGAGTTATGCCAATAGGCAAACAAGTGGGTGTCGGTCTGGAAGGGTGGGTGTTTCTAAGCAGACTGTATTTGCATGCAGACCGCCCCCCTAGGTACCGCCCACATGTGATGCTGAGCCGCCGTGAATGAAAGGGATGAGCCAGGGACATTCACGCTGGACGTCCTCCAGCCAGGAAATGATGCGGGCTTTATCTGAATGCTGCAACTTCTAATGCTCTCAGTGTGCAGCTAATGATATTGCAAGACTGAAGGGAAGGCCGGAGGTCAGCTTTGGTTGTAAGAGGGACAGGGTGGTGGAGAGGGGGAGGGGCATACATCCCCTTTGCTAAAACTTACTTTACTACTATTAGGCTTTCTGCATTTTTGGAAGAAGCAACACATATCATCGGGGAAGTTGTTGCTTGTATTTAGTGGTTTGGATAAAAGGAAACGTTGGATCGGTGCACTCAGACATAAATAAGCACCTTCTCCACCATTTTAATATGGAGATAAGTATTACCTGACACCTGCATGAATCAGGGTACATCGTAGTCGTTGATTGCTGGGTTGCAAAGTGTGTGTAATATTTAAAGCCGTCTTTTATTTCTGCTCGGCTTCTAATGGGCCATCAAGAGAGTCTCGGAGATTCAGAGACTGGGAAAGCTTTGTAGAGAAAACACAGCACTCCGCTCGCCAATCCCCTGTTGGTCCATTAAAAAGGTAGCAGAACCTGTGATGTATCCTCTCCCGCGCCGGATCAATTTGGTTACTAAAACAGCCTTTTAACAAACATTTGACAAAGCGCCCGGCGGAATATAAAAGACTCGCATTTAACTGCAATTGCCAAGAGCGTGATAAGTAGGGCCCCTAAGAGTGACGGAGGGAAATGAAGACTTGTCACAGGATGGAGGACGGCTAATTGCCGGAGTGGACCTGAGTGATAGGGATGTGGCGGCTGAACTTCAGTGATGGATACAGCGATGAATGGGGGGAGCACTGTTACTGCAATTGTTGCCATTTCACTCGTATAAGCACCACGAAAGCAGTGCAAACCACAAGATAGTCTCGGGGCATTAAAAAGGGGCCTTGCACGACAAAATCAGTTAAAGAGTCAGTCCAACCAAAACCATATCAGCGTGTGGTAGATGCTGGAGCACTAACCCAGGTCAGAGTTTCAGTTCCTATATAAGTGATGGTCAACACTCTTAAAATACAGGGCCATGCAACAGAAGATGGTTAGAGGTGGGGACAACCTACAAGAGATGGTCAGAGGTGGGGACAACCTAAAGAGATGGTCAGAGGTGGGGATAACCTACAAGAGATGGTCAGAGATGGGGACAGCCTACAAGAGATGGTCAGAGGTGGGGACAACCTACAAGAGATGGTCAGAGGTGGGGACAACCTACAAGAGATGGTCAGAGGTGGGGACAACCTACAAGAGATGGTCAGAGGTGGGGACAACCTACAAGAGATGGTCAGAGGTGGGGACAACCTACAAGAGATGGTCAGAGGTGGGGACAACCTACAAGAGATGGTCAGAGGTGGGGACAACCTACAAGAGATGGTCAGAGGTGGGGACAACCTACAAGAGATGGTCAGAGGTGGGGATAACCTACAAGAGATGGTCAGAGATGGGGACAGCCTACAAGAGATGGTCAGAGGTGGGGACAACCTACAAGAGATGGTCAGAGGTGGGGACAACCTAAAGAGATGGTCAGAGGTGGGGATAACCTACAAGAGATGGTCAGAGATGGGGACAGCCTACAAGAGATGGTCAGAGGTGGGGACAACCTACAAGAGATGGCCACAGCTTCAGAAGATGATTAGAGATGGGAACATGCTACAAGAGATGATCAGAGACTGCAGACATGCAACAGAAGAGGGTTAGAACAGTAGATATGCTACAAGAGATCGTCAGAGAGTGCAGACATGTAACAGAAGATGGTTTGTGATAGAGACATGATACAGGAGATGGTCAGAGATGGGGACATCCTACATGAGATGGTCCGAGACTGCAAACATGTAACAAAAGATGGCTTGAGATGGGGGCATGCTATAAGAGATAGTGAGAGACTGCAGATATGCAACAGAAGATGGTTAGAGATGGGTCATGCTAAAAGAGATGGCCAGTAACTGCAGGCATGCTATCTAAGATGGTCAGAGACTGGATTCATACTACAGGAGATGGTCAGAGTCTGAAAACATGCAGCAGAAGTTGGTTAGAGGTGGGAACATGCTACAAGGGATGGTCAGAGACAGCAGGCATGCTATTGAAGATGGCCAGTGACTGTAGACATACTACAGGAGATGGTCGGAGACTGGAGACATACTACAGGAGATGGTCGGAGACTGGAGACATACTACAGGAGATGGTTAGAGATGGGGACATGCTACAAGAGATGGCCAAAGACTGCAGACATACTACAGACATGCTTCAGGAGATGGTCAGTGACTACAGAAGATGGTCAGAGAATTGAGACATATTACTAAGATTTGGTCAGAGATAGTGACATACTGCAAGAGATGGTCAGAGACTGCAGACATGCTTCAGAAGATGGTCAGGGATGGGGACATGCTACAAGAGAATTAAAAAGAACATTGCAACATTTTATATACTTTTGTATATTTGACTAATCTACAGGCTGCGGCATCTGCTCTGAGAATCTCGGCCTCCCCTGGCAGACAATCAGCAGCAGGGAACTCACCTTCAGACATTTTACGGAACTTGTCCTTCGACATAAATCCCAGAGCCAGACCGAATTCTGAAACAAAGCACAAAAGACGGCAAATTATTCTCACCACCCGAAATAAACATATCACACGTTATAATGAACAGTGTATATGAATTTGGAGCATAGTTATAAATAATAATAACAACATCATAGGAGCCGCACCTCTCGTGATCTATGTGCGCCGCTCGATAAGTCATCACGGTATGTTGGAGGGGATTGATAACAAAGTATTTT